TGTATTACACATGTATATCTCAAAAATATATACTGTACCCGTCAAATACACCTATATTTTGTTCTATGCAAGCAGATTGTACCTTTTCTCAAGTTTAAAGAATGGTCTTATACGGTTTAATAATAAAAATACACAAGGTAAGAAACTAAACTTGTAAACAAACGGGGGGTTCCTCGCTTCGAGACAGATTTTTAAGGTAATAACAGTGTTACCTATCATAATTTTGCAAGCACTCTGTCAGGGAGATGTTCTTCTACTAGTCTCTTTAACCCTTTAACAAAATGTAGATGTGTTTGACGGGAAATTATATATTTATAAGATACGATACACTCTTACATTTTTTTTTAATTAAAAAAAGGGGGGCATTGATTCACACTTCAGGTGCCTGTGATTCTACATGACAACTCTCTATGGCCTAAAGGTTTTGAAGTTAAAAAGTTTAGTAGATGCTAAACTAGATACACATTGGTTTTTGTAAAAATTTGACAATTGTAGGATGTGATGTAAACATGTATACGATATGTATGATTGTGACTTTTTGTTTGCATTTGAAATTCATCGCAATGTCAATTTTGTCGATGGCCGAGGGCTGCATGCGAAAGGCTCCTGATTGAGCCTCTTTTTAAACAATTTTTTTAATCAATTGCTAAATAATTTTATTTAGCATCTGAAATGAAGAATCAACAATCTGAGCATCCTCCCTTTTTTCATCAGCGGGGAACATAAATTCTCGGATTCAGCTTGTTGTAAATTGAACCCTTAAAATTGTGAAGGTGGAAAAACTTTTAATGTAGATAATTTATGTATACAATAATTTTGATCCGCAGATTTTATAGTCAGTATACTTCATCTCCACGTTCCTAATAAAAATATCACCTTGAAATCCGACACATTACCTCGCTCTTTATACATGTATTATAATATTTATAGGGGTGATGAATGTTATAAGAATTTTAATCTGCCTGCAGCCTCGGATTTCAAAGTTAATTTTTAATTGTATCATCTGTCCTATAATCTTTATAGATAATTCATATTTTTAGAATATAATAAAATGCAGTCTTAGTTTCATGAAATTTTTATGTCGACTGAATGAAACTCCCTCCTTCACCCCCTATTCCTAGCCACTTCATCAGATTCGCACTGACTTTATTTTTCCTCTTCTGAATCTATAACATAAAACATTAAAAAAAATTATGTTGACCCCCACCTTATCCATAACTTCAGGACCTAACAGAATGACGTGGAATTTAAAAAACCCTCTATAATTAACGTATCGCCAGCTGTCAATCACAACAAATTTTCAACCAATGAAATAATTTCGTTTATTCTGCGCGTTCAGTAAAAACTTGCTCCGCCATATGCTCCGACAAACAAACTCAGTGGGTTGAGTGGGCGCCAATAAACAAATCGAATAAATAAGTCTATGATGGTAAAAAATATGCCGTTGGGGAACGTGCAATACCGATGACAGGTATCCCGAAAGGGAATTATGGATGTTTCGGGACCGCCATGCCTTGGGACGCCGACGTTTCGTGACCTGACAACACATTCCGGGAGTTGGGTTTACACGTTTTGGGACTTCTAAATATTTTGGTCAGGAAATGAAATAAAACTCGTTTACTTGTTTGTTATGTTTATACATGTATACTTTCTTAGTTTAATACACACGAAAAAAAAAACCGGTATAAATCCATATACACGGTATAGAGATTCATTTGACAGACTGTCTTCGCGTTAAAAATATAAAAATGATATGAATAAAAGTATATATATCTATATATAGATAATTATCCATAACACTTCTACGTACTTGCATGTTTTACCCTCAAAATAATTGACAAAATACATACACATTTTAAAAGAGAACTATACGCTTTTTTAGTTTAATTTCACATTAATTTTATCGCACGGTGTTGACTTGTGACTGAAAGTTACCAGTTTTTATAACCAGTTATTATTGCATATGCAGGTTTGAGTTTACAAACTTTTTTTCACTTTTTTAAAAAAAAATTAAATTCGATTTAATCTACCCATTAAAAATGATTCTATTTTATCGCTAAAAATTAACTTTTAATTAACCCCCCACCTATTACTATAGCATTATTTAATTTATTAAGAACACCATCATGTATTGGCAAAATATCGAAATTATTTAATAACTTCATTTTTTATATAAAGACATACATTGTCATTACCTGTACTATAATCAATATAGTGTATATGTAACGAATTAGTCCGACTTTGTTATATGAGACTTGTCCCAGAAAAACACGAACTTTGTATATTAGATTTGTATACATAATATATATCTGACCAAAATTATTCAAAATCTTCATGCACTACTAACTATTATTGCTAAAAAGTGTGCACATTTTCCACCAGAACTTAAAGGTAAAGAAGAAAGATTTTTCCAGAGTCGATATTATCGGAGCCCGAGAGATTTATAGAACAACCATTTGATTCGGGAAGGGGAGAGGGGAGAGGGGCTTGCAATTTTTTTACCAAGTCAGAGTCAGATTATTTATTGTCATGTCGGTGAAGGACGGATTATTTATTCCCAATGACAGATTATTTATTCTCCGCTTCACTGAAAAAGTCTACTTGAACGAGCCAAAAAAAAAAAAAAAAAAAAAAAAAAGGGGGGGGGAGAGACGTACCGTCGACAACCCAAGATTATTGTGGAGGTGATGGGGGCATATTATTTTTTATCCTTCCAGTTGAGGAAAGATTATTTCCAAACTGATTCAACTCCTTTATCAGCCAGACACCCCCTTCAAAATCAAATGATCGTCCCCTTATGGATAGGAAGTAAAAGCATGTCTTGACAATGTCGTATGGGTTTTGTATATTATTGCTGATTTAATAAAATTATTACATTACAAATTGAATTAAAGTCGCAATGTGCTTCTGTCTTCGTCGACATGGATGTTTACAGTATGAGGGAACTCGGACTTTATCATGCTTCGATAAACTTTCCGAGAAAGGGATAATACGGAATCATTTTTTAATATTTCAAATGAATGAAATTTATGAAAGCTTTTGTAAAAGCATTTGCCCTTCGTTTTGTCTCAAAGTGGGTTCGTATGGCAAATATTTTGCAGCAAAATCATCAGGAACTTCGGATAAGTCAACCAGCGTCGACTTATACCGAGTTACACGCTATGTTGATGATGTCGGAGTATCATAGGAGTTATCTCCCATAGCGCGATGGGCGGAGTTTGGCGATACGTTAATTGATTGGTCCAAAAACCAACCAATTCAGAAAGATCCTGTCGAGGCGGCAGTGATTTAGTGAAAACCAAATCGTCTGTAGAGTAAACCAAATACTAGTAATACATATATCAAATCCTTTATGACCAGAAACATGTATGCCGATGATATAAGGAATTGGAATCATTTAGTGACATGGTCACTATCGATATAAGATGTATATTTAATTTAGTTTTATATTCATTGTCCTATCATATTATAGTTAAATTACAGTAAAATAAAATTTGCAACCTATACGTCAATAATAATGTAGGTTTATACCATGTACAAAGTCTTTTGAATTACCAATAAAAGTTGCAAAACAATTTTAAACTGAAAATCTGACAAACACATAAAATTTTTAAGTACGAGTGCGAGTGGGGAGATAGAGATTGGGGAAATGAGATATAAAAAATGGTAAAATTAATGAGTTTTTTTGATGAAAAAAAAAATAAATCAAGTATAGACTGATCAAAATCTGGAATAGGGGGTGGGTATGGGTTGAACCGGAGACCCCAAACTTAAAACAGTTCATCACACACCACTCAGACTTTTGATACATACACAATTAAGGAGACATGCCACATACTAGTAGTTTGAACTTAATTGTCTTAATTTTCCCAGGAGTTGAAGAGTTCAAATAATTCTGTAAGGCCTGGTATTGTGTGCTAAATTTTATTATATACCTTTAACATTATACAGTAAATCTGATTGGTTTAGAGCATGTCACGTGAAGTTAGACAATTCGTGATGTCTCCCTCACGCGCAGGGTGACAACTGTTGTCACCTTTCGGACGACAATGAAATAGCGTAAGCGTGCATGCAGGGTTACAGCTGTGTTGTTGCCCTTTGAATAGAATTATAGTGAAATTTTTGTGGTTTAAGCGAGATGACTCTTTTTTACAATTTTATTTTTAACATGTACAATAGTTAAATATGAGGGATCGGTAAACAAAAAATTCCGACAATGATTTCAAAGTTGTCTGTTGACATAATTTGAAAGTATGGAATCAGAGAAGAGAAGGAGAACACAAGAGGTTTGATTACCATTTTCTACTGTCTCTAATTGATAGTTTAGTTTCTTGAAAAACTATAATTATGGACTGTTTAGAAGGGAGACATCACCGCATACTAGTATCAGGTCTGAGTAGGGTTGTCACCCTCGGGCGCAATGTTTCCCTTCTAAACAGTCCATAATTGTATAATGTCTATTTATACTATTGTACACCTATTCCAAAACAAGTTTGGATTTTGGTATATTTTACTTCGAATTATACAAGAATTTTCATCGATTGATATTTTTGTTTTCTATATTTTTCGTTCGTGAGAAGAGGGCAAGCATGCATACATTGTCAACACCATGAAATTTTTTAAAAAAATCTTAAAGAGTCCACAGTATTGAAATTACTTAGTTTGTGAAATATGATATGTATTTCTCTCATGATCATATATATTTTTTTTCATTATGATCCATTCTACACCTCGACGAAACTTATTAACTGTGTTTCAAAATACTTAGAGAAAAAAACTATCACTAATTTATTTTCTATATCACAATCTTTTATACCTATACCAATACATGAACTCGTACATGAAAAACCCCATATATTTCTTGCATGATAAACCAATATTAACCTGTCGATACAAATGCTTGAAAGCAATTGCAATATTAAACATTTTCTCTAGAATAGAGATATTGCTATATGAAGAAGATTGAACTGCATCATGAGCCTGCCTAAAATGCAATTAAATTGAAAAGAAATAATCCTCTTTACTTCAACATATCGTACAAAATCAGTATGCTTATATCAATCTTCCATTTCACAAAAGCATGGTGCTCACTGCGTGCATGGTACAAATTGATTAATTCTCTTTACATCTAAAAAAGAAATCAGACATATTTATAAATAAGATTTACAATTTATTCAAATAATTTCATATTAAAATTATTTATCTTACTCACGTCATAAATAGAAAAAATGACACAAAATAATATTGACAATGAAAAACAAACAAACAATATACAGTTAGTATAAATTATTTTGATATAGCCATAGGATATTTTAAACTGTATACTAAAAGAAATTAAAAAAAATACTTTGTACCCTTCAGTTTTTGTGAAGAATACATAAAAAGGAATGTCAGTCAATATTACCATATAATAACACTACCATTTTAATATCAAATATGCATCAATTGGAAATTAATTTCTAAATTACAAAGAATGCTGCCTGCCAGTAACACTTTTCGCATCCGATGTTAAGGGTACCGGTGGTACATGTATAAATGTATGAACCTCTCGTTGTATTGATACGAATACGTGATAAACAAAGGATTGTTAACCTTTTGAAAAATGAAAGGTTGTATTTATTTTGACTGAATATTTAGGAAAAAATATCTCATCAATTATCTGTAATACATTAGTAGTTCTTACAAAAAGGAAATAAGGATAATACAATCTATAAATTTCACTAGAGAGACAAAAATACAGTGAGGATGCAAGGGGACGGATCGAGACAAAGCAATCGCTACGTTCCCGCCATGTACCACAAAACATCACAAAAATTAATATATGACAAATGTTAAGATAAATCCCATACAAACTGTCATTCGAATGAACTTGTGAACGATGGACGTTGCCCCACTTCCGGATTGAATTTCTACCAATCGTTGGCCTTCATTTGAGTTGTTGCACAAATTATCTTGGCAAACAGTTTGGCATGTGAAATCATGGACACTGTTATCAACACAACAATTACTACCACAATCAAAAGTATCCGGGACAGAGCAATTCCGAAACATAAAGTATATCCGTGTTTTATCTGCAAGAGAAGGGTGATTCAGGAAACGATTAATATGCACCTTGACAGATTTAATTTTTTTTCGAAAGTTAATTTTTTTTTTTAGGGAGAGATTTCGATAAGACTATTCTTCGGCCCATGGTTTTCAATTCTATTTCATTAAGTAAAAGACTTGCAAATGCATAATATAAGCAAATTCAGATAAATCATAAATGTACACTTAAAGGATTAATTTCTTCTTTAACTATTTAAAAAAAAATTATCAAATTTGTACCCTTGGTATAAACAGTTTTTGTAACACATCTAAATCCGTTTCCACTACAGTTGTCTACAATGTGACCGTTTGTCGCATTCCATGGGGTGGTCACACAACTGAAGTCATCATTGGAGGGATTCATGTATGAACACACGTAACATCCGAACCTCGGCAGCTGTGAACCTGTTAGAAAATCCAAAATGACAGAAAGTTTAAGTCCAAAGATCATAAAACAGACGTTGACATAAGTCAAAATTTACCTTCTCTGCATAATGTTTGTTTTTTATTACCAGAAATGAACACTCTTCAATCGTGAATATTGTTTTAGACCACCAGATTTTCTAGTCATTCGAGGCCAGTATACAGAATATTTTATATTTCATGATCCAAAAGGCAGTGTCTTGGAAGTATAATCGTGAATAGAAGTAATAAGACCTTGTCCAATAGAAGGATATTGCATGATTCAATGAACTATAAAGATAAAAGAAAAAACAGGAATCAAGCTTAGAAGACCAGCTGAACAACACAAGCTGTAAACATAACAAACACGGGTTCCTTTAACATCAGAGATGGGATCAAGTACCATGGAGGACAAACCACTCGTTTGCTCTGTATCATGATCTGTTAACGGTTACATTTAAGTACTCAACTGAGTTTAGAAATAATGGACTAACGATTTAATATCACAGACATTAGTCAACACTGGATCTAAGGACAGATTGTATTTGCAAGCAATGTCTTACTTTCGCTAATAGAATTTAAAAAAATGTTGACCTCAGACAAGATTTTAAATACCCTTATATCTAAGACCTTTAGCATGTTTAGGTTTATCTTTAGGCCTTTTCTTTTCAACATGTAATAATATATAAGAGACAGGACTTTGTGATTGGAGATTGGAGCCATAGGTTACCAACTTGAAAGCCACAAAGGTTCCTGCTGTTTCTCTTTATGTTATAAAAATAATTTTAAAAATAAGCTTGAAGGAATTTTCAATTCAGTCTTTATTCAAAAAGTTCTGATTGCAATCAATTGCATGATTTTAGGTTCACAAATCAATTGAATTAGACGTTCTCTTAATTAAAACTGTCAAAAATTAATTCCATATTGTAAGGTAAATGTTTGCAAAATTCAGAACAGGAAGAACTGCATTAATTAGTTGTAAAGTGAGTTTAAAATTCCATAATTATATAAGGAAATTTATTCTTCTGGGCCAATGTTTTCCTTCAAGAGAACCAATTGCAACTACGGGTAATAATACATACTCACATTTTTGTGGTTTTTACAGTCAGCAAAAAATTATCAACCACCTAAGCGTACTAAACATGAAAGGTTAAAACAGCTGAATGTTTGTGAAATATCGAACACAGCACTCATAAATCAGACCAGTGTCCGCTGGCATTTTCAGCATCGAAATGTTACATCTTACAGGCCAAAGAAAACAGGTGGCAGAAAAGTTGTCTTTTTTTGCATTTCAATCGACATGTGACTGGCACGGCTATCTTAAGTAAAGTCAGAGAACATAATCTACAGGAATCGTATTAATGAGTTATGAGTTTCGTTGAGTTATGGTTGGTCGATAAAACCGTGCTTATGGGAAGAAGTGAGAATTAACTATGAAAATGATATAAATATGCCTATTGTAATTCATAGTTTTGTTTTGAAATTTATTCTTGTCATTCAAATTACGGCAAGCTGGCCAAGATCCTTGATATATTAATGACTGGGGGATTGTTTTTATCCAAATTCTTCTCCTATTTATGATAATCAGGCATGTTATTTCTTAAGAAGACCCGTACAGTGCAAAAAATTAAAACATCAACAGTTCCAAACCAAAATCAGTTAATTAGACAGTCAAATCACAAGAATAAAAACATTTTTATCTGTTCATTGTGGAAAATGTTGCTTTGCAATGGAAAGCCACAGGGACGCTGTTGGTCGATTAAACGACATCAAAAACGATAATTAAGGTGATCTTCAATTTTCTGCTGAAAAAATCAATTCATCCCATCGAATGCAGTGAAAAACAAGAGGAAAGAAAAGTATATCCTATGCAATCTTAATCAAAATAGAAATGACAAGTTTTTGCGCACAAATTTAACCACCTTTAACTGTTAATATTTATTGAATGAAGGCAATTCGCACATGTCATATATTTAGTCTTCTAGTCTTCATAAATGAAGAAAAACATTCATTCACGTGTGCGAACCCTACACGTGCAATTAAAGTCGCACTCAGTGCAACGAAGCATAGATCTTACCTGATATACGTGAAACAAGAGCACAAATAATCACATAAAGAAGTAAATGGTTCCTGAAAGTTGTAAGCACAGTTTGCCAAAGCATGACCGTCAGTTCTGTAAAATTTAGGACAAATGAAGAGATTGAAACATCTAAAACAAAAGACCACTTAATAATACATTGCTGTTTGTTGATTAACCTGTCAAGGGGGGCGGGGCCCCTTAGGGGAGACATAAATTGCCAATGTTATACATCGTACATTATATTCCAAGCAACATGCAAGTAATAGGTCGGAAATAATCATTAGCATTCGGCCTTTTTACAATTAATTATGCTGGTTAGCATGTCATGAATAATAAATTCCATATTTTTAGACATTCCCTTTTAAATACTCTTTCCTGTTTTATGTCAATTTCAGCAATTTCCGGAATGCATTTTAATTAACTCTTACCTTATTTAATCAAATCCAATCATGATATTCAATTGTTGGTTAGGTAGTTTAAAGAACGATTAATTTCAGCTCGTAGCATTTATGGCTGTCATATTGAAACAAATTTGCCGTCGCGAACAAATAGGTACGCGACTTGTTCGAAACATTCATTGATGTCCATCACAAGGACAATATTTTTTTCTTATGACAGATGAAGACTTAAGTATAGATTTGCCAGAGGCGTGCTTAAATCGTTTGCAATAGGTGATCCCAAAGTGCAAATGACTTGAACAAGCGTATACATCGCTGAAACGGAGAGGAAACATTGAAAAGTATCCATTGACCGTTGACTTTTTCTCTTTCCGTTTTAAGTGATGAATGAGTTCACATTATTGTTAATGGATTTATTGCTTGTGTCATGTTCTAAATTTTGAATTTACCGGGTTTGTCATGTTCTAAATTTTGTATTTACATTGTCCTCCCACCCGGTAAATTCAAAGTTTAAAACATGACACTTGTATCATTACCTGTTATGATATATGTTGAACAATCTGGAAAAGTAAAGTACAATGTTCTCCTAATATAAAAATGTGTTTTTGGTACCTGTTTTTATTATAAAATTCATTGCAGTAAATGAGTAATATTGATGATTTATCTTAAACTTTCTGTTACATGTAAATGCAAAAGTTAAGAAGTAAAGCATGAATCTCTCGTCTTACTAGTATTTATGTCGTTCTAAATTTTCTTGTCTCAAACGAAAAGAAAATCTCTAGATCTAGAACGACACAAAGGGGGTATGTAGTTACAAGAATACTGCAAGCAATAAAACTATGTTTAATTGTCAAAAAAAATTGCACATTTGATACTTTTGATTTGATACTTAATAGTTCCAAGGAACATTTGGACAATCTGAAATCAAAAATTTTACCAAAATCAACAGTTTAAAAACTTAGTAGGAATACGACTTTCAACTTTTCCACATGATAATTAAAGTCCAGGCATTTTGATATCATTGACAGCTGCTTTTTTGGTTCAAATGGAACTCGTGTACATTTACTTACCTTGACATTTGTCTTTTGCAAAATTATTTTGTTAAAAAAAATTATAATTATACAACCAAGTACTCTGAAGTTGACATCAAAAAGATGCTAGAGTTTCTGATTGACAATATCCATGTGGTTTTGGAGAACACGTCTTCCAACAATCTATTGGAATTCTCAAATTCAATACCAATTGCGCCCCGTTATAAGCAGACCTATTATTGTATTCATATGAAACAGAATTTATCCCCAATCCTATCCGTGAAAAGAAGAAAACACTTGCTGTGGCCTTCAACTCGAAATTTAGATATATCGACGGCATATCGTCAATTAATAATGGTTATTTCCATTCTTATGTCGATACGATATAATTATATCGGTGAGATTGAGATAAAAGACACCACAAAATCTGACACATCTGTTTCATATTCGGATCTTTTACTTGAAAAAGACGTTAATAGTAATCTAACAACCAAGTTCTATGATAAACGTGATGGCTTTAACCTTAAAATCGTCGGCCTCCCTTACTTATGGATCAATATACCTTCGTCTCCTGCATACGGAGTATATATTTCTCAGCTGATTCTATATGCAAGAACATGCTCTACGTATGGACAGTTTCTAAAACGAGGTTAATTATTGACAAACAAATTGATGAAACAGGAATATCAGCAGTCTCGTTTAAAGTCATCATTTCGTAAGTTCTAAGGTCGATACAATGATCTTGTCAGTAAATGCAATTTATCACTGGGTCAAATGCCGACTGACGTTTTTCATATCAATTGTTTGTTCATTATTTATACACTTATCAACGACGGATTTTCCATTATTTCCCAATCATGACAATGAGCACACGGCGGATGTGACTGTAAGCAGGGGGTGCTCACTCCTCCCTGGCACATGATCAAACCTTTGATGTTTTGGAGGTCCGTGTTTGCTCTGCTCCAGTTTTGTATTGTTTTATAGTCTTTTGGGCTTGAACACTGTTCTCGATCTCCATATGTACAATGTACAACAAGATAAGATAAGATGTTTATTAGGTGTATTAAAGGCCGTTGCCCACTGTACATATATAGACATCATATTCATGTGTGACATAAACATTTAAAACATAGTGCATAGTATGAAAATTGAAAAACAGGAACAATATTATGTTGTGTTACCATAGTTCATCATAGATCATAAGGTTAACATTTCATGTCTCATAGACGAACCTTTTTCTTTATAAAAAGTTAAAATCAGTTCTACGTTTGAGAACATTTTTTTGTCTTTGCCCTTAAAAAAGCTGAAACACTGCCTTGGATATCTTAAAAGTTTCCATTTCTTGTGCAATAACATAAATAGTAATTTTGAATTATTTATCAATGTATTGTAATTCTCTGAAAATGCATGTCATAAATTAAAGGTATGGACAAGATTTTTTTTTTTTTTGTCGGACAAATATGAGGGTCCTTTTTAAAATTGAGGCAAAATGCAATCTAAACATAAGAAAAACACAAGATGCATTTTTTGTGTTTTAATCCCTCAAAGCATTCGTTGTTGATCTTTACACATATCTAAGGTCTTTATATCCATGATCAGAACAATTCAGCATACTCTTTTTATGGATGCTCAAAAGACTTGATGAATAGTACTCTAATTGACATACCTAGTATTAAATTGTTCCTTTAATTGATCTTAGGGTTGTTTGAATAAAAAAATTCTCTCAATAAATGAATATATGGAACAAGGAGAATGGCTATATTCCTTTCTTCAAAATTACATATACTTTTTATGGTTTATTTGAAGGAGCATTTTCATACACAAGAAAAATAAATTTTGGACCCATAATTGGACTTCCTTTGCAGAAAAGCTGCCTATCTTTCCCTTTGTGGTTTTAACATAAAAATTAACAATGATGGACTTTCCTTTTAGTGCAGGTTTGTGTAGTATCTGACCTTTTGACTTAAAAATTTAGCATGTATACACAAGCTTGACAGAATGTAACATATTGAATTGAAATCATCAACGATACCAAAAATTTATATATGTAGAAGAAAACACTTGCAGTGGCCTTCATCTCGACAATTAGTTTCATCAAATAACAATAATTTCTTCGCTTTATATGTTGACTCGATATGTCCCAGTGAACTTTTTATTTAAAAAAAAATAAAAATACCACAGAGTCCAACCCGCATTAATTTGTTTCATATTCGGATATTTTAATAGAAAAAGACGTAAATGGTAATACAACAACAAAACGTTATGAATTACATGATAACTTCAAATTTTTCTATCATCAACTTGCATTATTTATGTAGAAATACACCCTTATAACAGGCCTATCTAGTTTATGTCAACCATTTGATTCCCATTTGATTCGATACGCAAGAGGATGCTGTACTATTGAACAATTTCTAAAATGAGGAAAACCTAGAGACGTACTTTTCATGTTGATAAAATAAGGATATCAAAATCTTGTTTATAGTCAGCATTTTGCAAGTTCGATACAATAACCTTGCAATGTATCGAATGCAAATTGGCTTCTCACATACTAATTGTCAGACCTTTATTTACTGAATTGTCTACAGACTTTTCCGTTTGTCCGATAATGACAAGGAGCACACAACGAGCGGCCAGTCAACAGAAGATGCTTACTCCCATCTGGCGCATGATCCCAATAATGCTGCGATATAATGATGTCCTCCATTATAGGAGGTTTGTGTTTTTTTAACGTTCCTTCAAGACTTTTTCACTTTAATTTAAATGCCATAGATTGCCGGTTGCAGAGGGTTGCAATTTTGTTACCTGCACTTGGCAATAAAAGGTCTTTTTCGTAACAACTCCTACTGTGACATGGGACTTCGGTTTGAATGGTCTCAGCGGAAGGAGCAATACGACATGGGATTCAAACCTGCAAGGATCAACGCCTAACTCACAATCTCTAGAGCGAACGTTTCAACCTCTGCTCTTAGCTGCATGGCCATTTAAAGGAGTAATACTTAGAAAATAATGTGTTACTAATATTAATGTCATTGCTTGGTTTATAGATAGAATTTTGAAACATTAAACACATGCTATTTGAAATAACCTTTTTACGCAAAAATTTATATAAAAGCTTTAATTACAGCTAGTGTTATCTGCTAAAGACAGAACCACAGAAAAGTCAATTCTCATATTAAAGAATAATGTTGAAAAATCTTTTTAAATCTTTATAAAACGAAGTGGAGCATTGAAGAACAAATAGATTAAAATATAACAAACACCTTTCCTCCTGTTTGCATGACCTCTAAGTCTGTTCAAATCCATCCAATCAAATTAACATTAGGCGACATAAAAAGGAAAAGGAGTGCATAAGAAAAATTTCAACTATCTTGAAGCTGACAAATTATAACACAATCATTTCCTTATAGTATAAGTTTTTTTTCAAAATCATTATTCCCTGGAAATTGAAAGGCTACACTTGAACAAAAAAATATTAAAATAAGTTATAGAAATCCCATGAAAGATGGTGTGTGTGAATAGAAAACACATTATGTTTTTCGATATGCTTGTTATATTGACGTAAAGTGTACGTGTTATCATCGTTATCAATATCTCAGAAGAATAAAGCATTTGATGAGCTGATGATTAACTTACTGTAAAACGAACACTACCAATGCCTATGCCTTATAGAACCTAAAAATGTTGCATAACTTATCTAATAACACCCCCCCCCCCACACACACACACACACACACACTTCCCAGGAAATCAGGT